CTGAGGTATGAACAGAGCCCCCCTCCCCCCCCCCCCCTCTCCGACACATGGCAACCTGCTGTCACGTGATTTCAACATCCAGGCAGTACTTATAACTCACAGTGACAGTTGACTGGTTCCGGAGGGGTGGGGTGGGGGTGGGGGTGGGGTGGGGGGTGGAAAACAGTTGACACCCTAATGCTATTTTATTTCCTGTCCTAAAATGAGTTGACATAGCCTATAAGTAAGTTATTCTTAAACCGGGACAATACTATAAAATGTCATTCCTGGAATTTTACAATGTAGAATGTAAATTGTTTGGTCGTGAAATGAAAGCGAGTACCAAGGTTTTATGTCATTAACTGTAGGCCTATTGCTTGTGCTTTTAGCTAAGATCCAACATATCTTATGTTAGATCTCAGTTTGAAGTTATCAGTCTCAATCGAAATAATTAAAAGAAATATGGCAGCCGATCTAAATCTATTATCACAAAGCCAAAATAACAAATAAATAACTGGTGACAACCTGTACGTTGTTTTTCATATTTTATTTAGGTATACACCATATATGAAAAGTAGTTGCCAGAATGCTCAGACAAAAGTGGTCCCCGTTTCACTGCGGACAGTCCTCCCTGCTGTCCACGCACTGGCTGCTGGTCCTCGTGACCCTGACCTTGTCCTGTGGGCATGCGCAGCCGGGGACACACACCTCCACACAGAAGTCTGGTTCCTCTTGTCCACAAACCAGCGGACACGGTGTCCCACAGGACGTCCACTGCAAATCTCCAGGACACAGCTCCGATTGTCCCACTGCTTATAAATGGATTGAAAATGGAAAATGTACAGTACTAGTCTAACCAGGAATTATCTGCAATTATTGATTGGTACTGGTATCAAGTCTAACCAGCTACCTGACTGGGCACCGAATGAGCCCGAATTCACTGGTAGATCGGACCACACTATCCGTTTTCAAGGTGTGCGTCAGTACGCGCTTCGAAGTATCAGACGCAACACACCTCTTGGCTAGTACGCGATGTGATAGTGGTGATTCTCAGCAGGGTTGGAAAGTATTGCATCTTATCTCAATTTTTTCCGGGGTATGATGCTTTAAAATGTGTACTGACCCACACCTTGAAAACGGGTAGTGTGGTCCGATCTACCGGTGAATTCGGGATCATTCGGTGCCGAGTCTGGTAGTTGGGTAGGCCTGACCACGGGTATTACTGAATATAAGAGAGACTCACTTTCTAAAAGATAAACAGAAATCTAACAAAACATTGGAAGACAAACGAGCCTTAAACAGCTGTCGATGAACAAACATTATCTTAAAAATAATTTTGATCTTAATCCATATTAACGCTAGACTCGAAGGTCAATCCAAGGTCACTTAC